CAAGACCTTGTGTGGGATAAAAAAAAAGGTAGTAAACGGGGCGCTTCCAACGATATTCAACCCACAAGAGATTCCAAGTGGCCCAAGTGAGCGAGAGAAACGAATGATTTCACGAAGAGGAAAAACAGATTTAAGGGATGAAAGCGATCTGAAGTTTCCCGCGAAAAGTCCCCGTGTGTCGTCTGATGTCGCTTTAAAGGCAGTCACGACTATATTTTTCCTTGCAAGGACAACAAAGTCAGCTCTTCGCCAACTGAAAAAAACATCAACACGGTAAGAAAGTCTGTTTCTGTTTCCTGCCAAACGGGCATTGATCAGCTAGAAATGGAGGAGCTTGTTAAAAATGTAGTAAGATTGAAAATTGAAAACAAAGTTCTTCGAAACAAAGTCAACAACAAGCCAGTCATCACAGCCATCTTTACCGACCAGATAATGATAAATATCACGAAACCTGAAGTCTGGAATATTAGTGAAGTCGTGGGTCCAAAACTGAAGCGAAAGTGGACGGGGAAGTAATTTTCCTCTTGGCAGGGTGATCTTCAATTTGATCAAGTCGTCCTATAGCTCTATTTCATCTTCAACTGTTGGCACCTTCGTTTCGGCTGCATTTTTGCAAAGCTCCATTATGGCGAGCCGTTCAATTTGTAGCAAAATTTAATCCCTGCAATACATGTTTAATCCTTTAAATAATGGTTTTATTTAAAGATAGAAAATGGCATTCAATCCAATGGTAAATAAATTTTCGGTTCGATACAATCTTCTAATTTTCACGATTCAATCCAATACCTGGAATATTGATTCAATCCAATACCTGGAATATTGACGCAATCCAATACCTGGAATATTGATGCAATCCAATACCTGGAATATTGATTTAATCCAATACCTCAAATATTGATGCAATCTTCCTGGGCCGAGCGCGGCCAACAGGAACGAGAGTAACTGCGCACTAGAGAGCACTGAAAACATGGCGGGCGAAGGAGAACTAGATTTAGAAGTTGAGTTTCCTAAGTTTCTTGCAGATATCTTGGATAAAACGAAATTTTTTGAGAATTTTGACTCAGAAGTTGCAGACGCGCACGCCGAAGTTCTTGATCAAACCATTAGTCATTAGCGAAACCATTAGCTAAAAAGGAGGAAATCATGGAAGACCATTTCTTAAAATTCCTGTTGAGGTGCTTGAGGAACTTTGAGGACT